TATTCTCGGCCGCTATGAAAACGTTTTGACTTGTGAATAACTGTGCAGTGTTTCTGTAATTTGCTTCACTAACTCATGGCACTAATCGTGTTTTTCAGGCGAGGCTGGACAACTCTCAGGATTGGAAACAAGCGAGCTTTCCCTTCCAGATCACAGCGCTTGCTCGTCCCCCTTACCAGCAACCAAACGCAAAGGTACACACACTGTAACTTGGTCTTGAAAGAACGTTACGCATCGAACTGATGTTCACAATCACGTTTATTTCCTTCTTGGTACAATTATGAAACAGCGTGAAAACGTATTCGCCTAGACCGGCGTTTACACATTTTCGCGCCGTTTTTACTCTCTCACAAACATTGTAAACATCCGGGCTAGAGGTCACATGACTTCCGGTAAGAAAACTTGCCTCAACAACATTAAACAAAGTTCAAGCATACATGAAGCACTCTTCAAAAATACAAAACAATAAATAAGGGCACTTTGAGCGGCAGCTACACACACACACACACACTGAGTGTGTGTGTGTATATATATATATATATATATACACACACTCAGTGTGTGTGTATATATATATATATATTTTATGCTATTTGATCCTATATTATCTTCTACTATACACCTGCATTGTGTACACTGTCTTGTCCCGGCCTGCACCCTGTCCAATGTTGACTAGTAAACACATTCCTAGTATGTTGTAAAACTACATGGCGACTAAACAGATCTTGTATCTTGCTTATTTTCCCTCTTAGGAAAGCGGGCACGGGATGTGAATTTCTTTGACACCGTCGAGGCGTTGGAGGACCGGCGTGCCGTGGTGAAAGAGTCGATGCACGGGGATCAGATGGTGCTGTTAACCAAGGCCCAGGAAACGGGAGGACAAGATGCTCACGATGATGGAGCGCCAGGCTGAAGTGTTGAAGCGGCAGATGGAGCGCCAGGAGCACCAGGATGAAGTGTCGGTGCAGGATGAGCGACAAACCACTTTTCAGAATGGGTTTCTGGAAGTGCTTTCCCAGCTAGTGAAAGCCAACAGGTCTTCCTCCCTATAGTTGCCACTGTTAACAATGTCTGCTGCTGAGCCTATCCCTATACCTGGGACAGTTTATTTTATATTATTGTTATTACTGTTATTATATAGTCTTGATACAACTGACACTTTATTTTATATTGATAATGTTAACTTACATGTACAACTTCTATTTTATTTACATTAAAAATGTGAACTTCTATTTACTACTGTTATGTGTTGAGTGTGCAATAAAGAGAACCTACTGTACATGGCGATTAAACAGATCCTGTATCTTGCTTATTTCTCCTGACACTTTATCTTTAGTGACCTGTGTAGCATCCTATACATCACATGTAAGTGATTATTCTGATACCATCATATTTCATCGGTTATAAACTGGCGAAGCTTTATTTGTCATTTATTTATCATCAATGTTGCAACCTTGTGGGGGAATGGCAGGGGCACATACACAAATATGATAATTTATATAATTTTAAATATTATTTGACCTAAAACTAAATGTTTTTATGATTATCCTCTGAGGAGGACATGGGGATTTGCAAACTTTTAATTCCCCCCCCATTTTACACAACACAAAATGGAGTCCACTATGGGCCAAAACTAACATGTAGGTTTCCATAGTGTTTATGGCAGACGGATGCAGTGGGTCTGAGGAAGATATATATATAATAAAGGTGGGTTTGCTGCTGAGCCTATTTACTGTGCATACAACACACCTGGCACAGTTTATTGTTATTATATTGCCACACTGTACACTATTGTAATGTTGCCTGTCTTGACTGGAAAATAAAAGAGAGAAACAAAAGCACTGTACAAAAGATCAGCTTTATTGTCAAAATGTTTACAATGTACAATTTACACGCTGTTCAGATGCCTCATAAGGGCTGTGCGCGTGTCTTGCCCCCCAGCCTCGGCAATGGCTGGCGCTGGCCCATCAAGCTGGGTCGCCGGTAAGGCAGTCCATTCGTCCCTGTACTCATCATCATTACTTTCACAAAGGTTATGTAATATGCAACATGCTGCCACCTGGATTTTGATCTTGTCCATCTTGCAGTCATTTCTTTTCATCAAGCACCGCCACCTGCCCTTCAGTCTGCCAAAAGCGTTCTCCACCACCACTCGTGCTCGGCTTGTTTTGTTATTGTACGCAAGTTGCTCAGGCTGCATTAACTCAGTTACAAAGCTGTATAACATGAGCACAAACAGCACAACTTCAGTCGACTCCATCTCCATCATGTCTGAGGTCGGAAGGTAAACAACAGACGCCTAATGTACAGCGAGTGGGTGGGCGTCGCAGTATACGCGGGAAGTTTTTCTTCTTCTTCTTCTCTTGTTTTTGTAGCGGATTGCAAACAACTTTAAGGTGCATACCGCCACCTACTGTACTCGCCGTGAAGTGGTTTGTGGGCTGCCAGTAAACCCAAAGCAGAAGAAGAAGAAGTGACGTCAGCGACTCATTTGCGTAATCTTCCCTCAGGGAAAAGTACTCCGGTGTGAACGCGATTGGTACTTAGTGCCCTGGGGTAAAAAGTGCCGGGGCACTGAGTGCCAGAACTAAGTACTGCAAAGTACTTGGTGTGAACGCGCCTATTGAGGTTTTGAAGACGGTACAATATGCTCAGCTGCTCGAGCAATGTGTGCACACAAGCTCTATGCACGACTAAGCTAAACGCTCTATTAACTGTAAAAAATGTAACATAAGATAAAGTAATAGCAATCTTAGCTTTATTTCAGTCTGCTGAGTTTACAGTGAATTTAAGTATTTTGCTGTAGAACCCCATCATTGAAAGCATATTAGCAAGCATTGTGCATAAATGTGCTGATGGGACCAATAGCCGCTTTCACACCAAGTACTTTGCCGTACTTAGTTCCCAGCACTTAGTTAAAAACCTCTGCATTTTCTTTATAGATATTAACAGTACTTAATGTCAGCAAAAAAAAACGTAACAATTATTATTTACAATGGACTACGCTTAGCTAACCACTCATGGACCACACCCACCTTTTCTTTTGAAAAACTGGGTGACATACTGTCGCCCTTTAGTCCCTCTCCCTTGTCTTTCTCTCCTTTCTTTTCTTTTTGAAAGCCTGATTTTGTTAGTTGTTGAGACATGGTACACACGTAAGTACTAGCATCCCTGCTCCTCACATGCTCTCACTCTGCTAGAAAGTGCCGGTGCTGCGTTTGGAGGCAGGACCAAACCATTACATGTAAATAGAAGGGGGTGTACAGAGACTTTGGATAATTAACTTTTTAGAAGAAAATAAATTTAATAAATTGTAAGTTTAGTGAGTACATTATCAATATAACGTTATATTAATGTTAATTATTGATGAATGATGAAAGGTTACTTAAAGTGGACCTATCATGCTATATTTGAAAAATATATTGTAGGGCCATACCTATATAAAACATTTTTTTCTTAATGTTCTACAATTATTTGGGCCCCCGTGGTGAGGGTGTTTGGGGTGGCCAATAGGGTGGCCAGGATTCAGCTGCGCCACTGTAGAGCATGTGTGTGAAGAAGCAGGAAATAAAAAGGAACTCACCTTGTGGTATAACCGGCAAGAGAGAAAGCCTTTGAGCTCCATACTGTTTCAGAAATAATCCTTGATAATCCATGATATGGCGTTTCATCACCGCAGAATCTGCCGGTAGAATCTACCGCATGAGCTCAGCCCCCTCCTTTTTTTTTTTTAAAGCTTTATACCCCAAATCAGCATGGTTAGAATGGATGATCTGTTTGGTATTTTGAGCAAAACACTTCATAGACATGTTTTTTATATATCTGAGACCTATGCTATTGCCTAAAAATAGCATGATAGGTCCACTTTAATCGAAAGCACAAGCACCATTTGGCAGTGGAATTTTACAGAATTTACATAATTGTATTTGCCAGTGCTTTTCTGAGAATCATTACCATACATAAATAAAATAGCACTGAGGATATTAAAGATTGGTCTAAAAATAATATACTCAACCTGTTCTCTCTCAGTGAGGCTTTAACTGCTGATGCTCTGTGTGATCATTAGTTTTAAAAGGGGATTGGACTAGTGGGCTGATTATTTGAACATTAGAAAACTGTTTTGGCCATTTCATTTTTTTTTAAAGTATGCAGCTTTGCCAACGTTTTAAAATCAATATTGGCCCATACAACTTGAAGAGGGACAAGGTTCGGTTGGATCCAATATATCTCTAAGACCTTACAAATGTCCCATTAATTCAAATGAAAAACCATAGGAAAAAGGCATGAATCTGTAATAAGGGAGGAATTGTTTTCCTAGTGCTTCAAACTTTAAACCAAAGTAAGTATTTAACTGATAATAAGTATTTTGAATGCATGAGAGAGAAGGAAAACACACCCTAAAATGGATGTTATATTGTGATGTTTTACCAATGAGGGGACGGTCATCATCAGCTGACCGTGTGTTTTGAGCGTTGTCCGTTAGATTTGGTCACTGTTGTCTTAACTGTTACAAATTAATATTCCTGAAGCTATGAAAAAAAAATGTGTTGGACATGAGAATGATTAAGGAGGTTCCAGAACTCGACAGGACACATTTGTGACATGATTAAAGTAACTAATTTGTATTAATTCACTGTTTCAGGCTCCCAGAGAAGATGTGGTCATGAGGCATGGAATTTCTAGCAGCCCTGAAATAAAATGTTGGCCTACATGGCTTCATGCAAGCTATTTGGAATTAAACCAACTTGACAAATTACTTTAACAGGAGCCTTTTGAAAAGCAAACACCCTTTATCTCCACCCATAGAGTGAGACACACACAAAGGATAAAGTGAAATACGCAAATCAATTCCCTTTTCACCATTCTTGCATCAAAGATCTAAAGAAAAGACCCAGAACAAAAACACCGCTCTATGCCTTTTATAGCTTGGGGATACTTTTGTTCATGCATGCGGACGTCGGGAGCGCGCATGCTTACACGGTTCCGTATACTCCTTCTGAATTGCACATTTCATGCCCCAAGAAGCTACGCAGAATGAGTAGGGACTGGGCGCAAAGCAGTTTCTGAATCCGGTCCGGCGTGCCGACGACAGCGATGCCTGTGCCCACCGACTGATCACAGTGCTTTACCCGGACAGCACTGAATGGTAGCAGCTGAGAGACGGGTGCGGAGCGAGGGTTGCCAAACCCGGAGGATTTCTCACGGCTCACGGACTAGAATGCTCTTCTATGTATATCCCCATAAACGGATGACAACCTCTAAACCATCCTATACAGAAAACGTTCACTTCTGCATTTGACGTGGTGCTGTTATTGAGGGTTCTTTTCTAACGGGGTCCATCATGCAGGTGCAAACTGTGGGCCAACGTTACTGAAATGACTTGCTCGGCGCTGACGCATTTGACTGTGCCATGCCAACCCCGCAGTGTCAGATGCCATTTTATTCTGCGCTATCCTAGAACCTGGAATTCCAGCATACTGGGCCTGTTGTGTAATTAGAAGTTCGTGAGGCAGTTGCAAACAAGCTGGTGCAATGATAAGCTACCATCGGCCAGGCATTGCGCGCAATTTGTACTAAAGTGTATGGGTCCTGCTGCGTACTCCAGCCCCCGGCTTCCACTTGGAGAGGTGTGCTGCTGGGCTACAGCTCACTGGCTGTCAGCTTCACATCTGGACCGCCTGGGTACCGACAACTGCGGCCTGTTCGGACTGTGCACTCCCTGAACTTGTATGTTTACTGACTGACATCGCCTCGGATGGTGTCGTGTTAGGGGGAAGGAGTGTATATTTGACTGGGATTTGACGTTATCGGTGATCCACTGGAACACCGTTGTCCAAAGCTGGACTGGCTGACTATTCAAGAAAAAAATGCTTATCCAGCTATGGATTTTGCGTAACGAAGTCACGCATTTTTAACGGCAACGCTAGGGTGACATTGCAGTCTTCTCACCACATCGGTTATTTCGTCGTCCGTAAAAAAAATAAAAGAGTGAAAGTTGATTACTGTCCGTCATACGTATCAACGCAGTGGGATTTCTACGTCTGGTCGGCGTTCCCCCCCACCCTTCCCGCGGTGACGGTTATGGGTCGGAAGCGGTGTGTCGGTGCAGATTGTTCCAAGATGGCGGCCGGGTGCTGCGGGGTGAAGAAGCAGAAACTGTCGGGATCGCCCGGGTCGGGGTGTCCTGGCGGGGTGGGGGCGGGAAGCGGGGTGGCAGGAACCGGACATTGTGGCTCGGAGTTGGGGATTGGCTCCTCCGCGACCGTTGCAGCAGCGGCGAACGTGAGCAGAGCCAACGGCCTGGGGGGACCCGGGGGTAACGTTAGCGGCAGCAGTAGTAGTAGTGGTAGCAGCGGCACGAACGCTCTGTCCCCAGTCCCGGCCGGTTACTCTTCATCCGGCCTCTCCCCGAATCTCAGCTCGGGACCCGGTTCGGGCAGTGGAGGCAGAAAAATGGTTGTCTCAGCGGAGATGTGCTGCTTCTGTTTCGACGTGCTTTATTGCCATCTGTACGGATACCAACCTCCGAGAACACCCAGGTTTACAAATGATCCCTAGTGAGTATTTTTCTCTTTTGTTGTTTTGCAGCATATTTTTTGCTCATTGGTATATTCTCTCAACAAACATATTTTGCGGCACAGTTCATGTGGTTGCCTCTGGATTCTGCTTCAGCTTTGAGGGCACAAACTGTCACATCGAAACAACATTTTATTCATATTGAATTTAACGTTAACTGTTCGCGATCATGGTTTAAGTTGGAATTGTGGGCCTTGTCGGCACTGGCCTAGCGCTGCACTGAGCTAGCATTAACATTACAATGAATGATTTGATAAGATGTTATAATGCTATGATATCTAACACACCAAGTGATGTACATGAGGCGAGGTATAACAAACTCGTTGCTATTCGGCACCAAAAAACATGTTGCTATACTGTTTGAGAAACACAGGCTTTAGCTAACGTTAAGCCTGTTTGCTACACGCTAATATTAGCCAGTCACTAACACTCAACGAAAGAAAGGGTGGACCGAGTAAGATAACATCGCTTATTTCTTCGGTTTAACAGTGCCAGCTGTGTCACTTACAATAGAGCACTCATGCCGCTAGAATGAAATAAAAAAAACACATCAAAAACTAACATTAGTATTATTATTGTATTTATGTTGCCCTCAATGAACTCTGGCTGCCATATACCAGGCTAAGCTTTGTTAGCTACAAGCTACATTATCTTAGCAATCGAGCTAACCAGAGCTTCTGGTGATTCATTTAATGGAAAATGTCCCTCTGGTATAATGGACAGATGACCTGTTGGATAACTGACACGTTATATAGCCGGTTTTGCTTGGTAAGTTTACGTTACTGTCGAATTTAGCGACACTGACGTTAACCGAGTGAAACACTAACCAACAAAGAAAAGGTGGTTATTGCTTAAACATCCTTAAGCGTTCCGTACGGCCAATTTAACACACAAACAGTACTGTCAGTTTTAAAGATACATCAAAGTAAAAAAAAATACAAATGTTAAGTATTTAAATGATTATTTCAACACTTTTTCCATTTTTGTGTCATTGGAATATTAACCATACAAGGTATCGATGTATGTTTCCTGCCCGTAACCGAACTCCTGCGCCCTCCACTTTAACATTCCGACCCCACCTTAGAAATACCTTTTTTATTTAATGAAATCGTTTGACTTTGCTGCAGTTTTACTTAGATTTTGAAACTCTGTGAAGTAAATATTTGGAATTGCAATAGCACGTTTACTTTTCCGGTGTATTGGGGGAGAAAAAGCTGCCGTCATTTCAAATGCATATGACGGTTTGAATTTGTGTGATGAAGTAAAAAGTTCCAACTTTAGGGTGATTTCAGTAACATTTTGTATTTTAATGAAACAATCCATCATACACTTTGTATTTGTATACAATTCATTCCCATTCTCTTTCTAATAAACATATTCACATCAAAGTGCCATTTTTGCATTTATGGTTGAGACTGTATGACCAATGGGTCTTTTAAAATGCTACTTCTGACATGTTAACATTTTGAAAGAAAAACAGTACACTTGAGCCTTTAATTAGATAAATGTATCCCCAAAAGATCACACTATCATCTAACGTCTCTATCTAGGGAGTTAATATCAGACATTCCTAATTCTACACATGGCTATGTCCATACATTAATGCACAAGTCCACTTACTTTTAAGGCTTCGTTCCAATGTCAACACAAGGCAATACACTTTAAACATAAACTGATGTCACTTCTGCAATCTCGATTACTGCCTCATTGCAAGAGGGTCTCAGGAGAAGAAAAAAAAAAACTAGGATTGTAGTAATCAAATGCCCACCACTGTTTTGAGAAGCTCATACATGTCCTTCATTCGGGGGCATTGTCAGATTTAATTATTGAAGTCCTCAGAACAACTACAACATTTGACATAGACTCTGTGTTCTGCAAAGTTAGCTAGTGAACTAACATGGGCCTAAGATTATGAAAACTGTAATTCTTTTTTAAGACACAGTTGTACTATCATTTCAATTTTAGTCAATTTTGGAACAAGATGATAGTGTATTGTTTACCTACCTTAGATGTTGTTGGAATTAATAAAAACAGCAAGTATTGTTCTCTCAATAGAGACTCACATGATAAGAACTGTAACTTAATATACGTGCAAAGGTCGATGCCTCAAGGACTGCCAACGCAGCATACAGTTTATGGGAATTTGCATCATTTTGAATGCAGAAGACCAATGGACCACGCTAGCCAGTGACCCTGCTACAGGTAAATTAGCATAACCAGTCAGCTTATTTAGCTTGCTTACTTTAGCTGACTTCAATAGTTGTATAACTTGATAAGGCAACTGTAATTGTTGATATTTAACATTTGTGTAATTTTATGTTTGTTAACATTGATAAAAATATAATCTTTCATTTTGAATATGTGCAAAGCTAAACTTACAACATTACAATTTGAAGAAAAATTGCTAGCTAGCAATCAGGCTACTCATTAATACAGTACATGTTATCTTATCCATTGTGCTACTGAATGGATAACACTAGCAATTTTTTCTTTTAACTTTTGTCCCTGTACATTCCTCTTTTGAGAACACCAGAAGACAACACCTTTCCTTACTGGCAGAGAAGGAGCAAAGATCCTCAGGAAATGCAGGGTGAAACATTTGTAAGAGATAAAGGGTTACAGCGGTGAACATTAGTCATGTTTTGTTTTTTTTATATATAAACTATTTTGCAAATATGGGCTGTAAAAGTAATTTTATTTTCCTTTGTAATTCAAGTTTTTATTTAATTACTGGTACCTTATATCTGATCTTGTAATTTATTTTTATTTTGTAACATTTGTTTTATATGTGAAGAAGCTAAAAATAAAATTACAAATTTGTTCAAAGAAAAAATGTCTCATGTATGTTTCCCTTTGTAAAATTTGACTTTTTACAGCCTTTTTAAAAGTATAGGACTTGTAGCTCAAGATTTAATGGATTGAACAAGTTAAACGGTGTACAAGTCAGTGCAGTTAAAGTATTGGTTCTGGTATTGAAAATTCACTGAGGAAAATCTGTGAGCTAATTTTTTTCCTTTTTCTCCTTTCTCTTTTACTCTTTACACATTTGCATTTTCAATATTTTAGTGAGAGAGAGAAACAAAATCACCAAGTTGCGGTATCAGTACAGAACATGCAGAAGCTCCACACTGGTTTACTTGAAAGAGACAAAACAAATGTCAGAAAATAATGAGTTAAGATAAATAACCAAAATCTCTCTAGTTGTACTGATTGTCTTTAATTAATTACTTACACAAGTAACTTTGTTTAAGTATTAGAGTGGCGTTATGCATTTGAATTGGTGCACTTAAAACTGAACTGATGCTCATATAAAGGGAACACTATTGGATAAAGAGTGGAGCCCTGCAATGGTGTGTGACTTGGCATCTGAGATCAAGACCTTCGATGGAAAAGTGACAATAAATCAGTGAGTCAGATTAACTGTTGTGACACTGCACTTCCTTCAGTCCTCTGCAATACGCCGGCCAAGTGTGAAGTTGATGAACAGTTGTCGAAAAACTTGAAGGACATTTATATTAACAAACTGAGGCTAATACATTTTTGTTAAATTCCTGGAATACATAGTTGGATACTTATAGACCTGTTCCCTGTTATGCACACTTTGCTTCTGATCCACTGGGATACCTACCAACAATTTTGCAACTAGGTATGTCACAACTCAGGACATTTAGTATTCAAAGCAAATACTAGTACAATTCAGATTACATTTTGAGTCTTCAGCAAGCACTAAAGGCCATGATAAATCCCATGTAGCGGTATAACAGATCAAAATTCCCTATTAATATATATTTTACATTGCTGTAAAAACTATTCATCCACGGTTCTCGCCAAAACGGCGTAGATCAATACTAAAATATGGTAACTACAGCACTGCAGAAACCCAATACTGTCACGTTTCAGTATCTTGACTTTTACTTGGTTCCGAAGTGTCGGTTCTCATGACCTCCCTAACCGCAACTAGTGCTGCCATCCACAATGAGGATCTATGAGGAAAAGTTGTGGATAGTACCTGTCCTTTTTTAGTACTACCTCAGCAGAGATTCCAAGCGAGCTGAGCTGATACTAAAAAGTGGAGTTAAAACATTTTCATACATTTAAGAAGGGTTATACGGTTTTTTTCAAATAGAAAAACGGTTACTAAGTCGTTGGTTGACAGATAGTCCAATGACCCATCATGGCCCTAAAATGTGTGACCATCGCCTAGTGTGAAAAACCTTCATGTGTTTTTAATTAACGTTTGACCTTACAGAAATGTACATCCGACGTGCACATTATTCAAGTTAACCTCCTTTAACATGGGCCCTTCTTCTTTTCTTTCAGCCCGCTGTTTGTCACATGGAAAATAGGCAGAGACAAGCGGTTGAGGGGTTGTATAGGTACATTTTCTGCCATGAATCTGCACTCAGGACTCAGGGAGTACACCCTTACCAGGTAAGAGAAAGGCAACGTTGTTTTTATATTTCAAAGCTTTAGATCAAAATAAACAACAAACCTATTGGAGTCAAGATCAATAGCATGGGCAACTATGTAGCAGTTAGTCAGAACTCATTGTTTGCCTGTACATGAGTGCAACAAATATCAATGTTCTTGTTTCTTATAGTATTTACTTTGTTCTGTTTCATTCATGTAGCTTGCAGTAACGATGTGTGGAGCGCGTGTCTCCTTTGATCCCAGGTCCTGGGGCTTCAAAAAATATTCAAACAAGTTATTAAAGTCAATAATTAGTTTTTTATGTATTAAGACACATTGATATGTTTACTGTATACCTGTAAGCACTTTTATATTAAAGTCAGACAAACTACACTTAAAATGTGCCACCAACACAATCTTATTAACAGAAGTTGATGTAGATATGTTAAAATCATTTCAATAATGACATTTATATGTATTTCATATAAGTCTATTTATTCTGGATGACCTGGATGAGATCAAAAGGACAAGCATTGACACAGTAAATTGTAATAATATCTTAACTATTACTGTAATGTATGAACTGTTATAAAACTGTTTTAATTCAAAAATGTTGTAATAAAGAGTCCTTGTGTAGGTTTATTGGGATGTCCAGACACAGTGAAATGGGTTAAACCCGCAATGGTGGACTATCAGACTGGTGGGTTAAACACCAGTTTGGCACTACACGGCTTTGGTGTACAAATGTTTAAATTAGAAATCTAAATTAAATATATGTTACTGATATTCAAATGTCACGCAACCCCTTACAAAACACGTCATTACTTTCAGTCTAAACGGGGCCCTTTTTTTCACAAGCATTTTTGCCCCAAGGGTCAAACACAGCTGTCCAAAACCTGTAAACACAGACGGCTGCTTACTGTGTACAGATACACACAATATAAAGAGCAGAGTTCATGCTGCGGTTATACTGGCCTCCGTATGTTCATAGGTCATCTACATTAGAGAAAGGGCATCCTCCATCACATGTTGGAAATGTACCCTCAATTTAAAAACAGTTTTCAGAGTTTCTTAATTCAATCCAATACAGTGTTATCTGCTATAACTCTTTTCTGAATTGCCTCTTGTAATAGATGGTTTCTTTGTGCTTTTATGTCTGCAGTGCCCTTAAAGACAGCCGCTTCCCCCCTATGACAAGGGATGAGCTGCCTCGCCTCTTCTGCTCAGTGTCTCTTCTCACCAACTTTGAAGACGTTGGTGATTACCTTGACTGGGAGGTAAGGGACTTGGTTTGTTAAAACAATTGCATTGAGAAGGGTTGTTGCTAAATTGCTCACATTTTTTGCTATTAATACACAGCAGTCCCTCCATATTTTTTGAGGTTGTTAAAACAAAAACCAAACAAATCTTAAGCCTAGTCAAATTCTAATCATGAAGTTTGAAGAGGTGCATAAAAAGTGACAAAATGTAACATTTCAGCATGTTAGTTTTACAAATGTACCTTTGTTGGATAGAGAGATTTATGGGGTTAAAAATGTATTATGTCCTTGTGATGCATGTCTTGAATTCTAGGTGGGTGTTCACGGTATTAGGATAGAGTTTTTCAATGAAAAAGGTTCAAAGCGCACCGCCACCTACCTACCAGAGGTTGCAAAGGAGCAAGGTGAGATCTATTTTAGCCCCTAACAATCCCAGCCTCATCTGCTTTTTTAGAAAGATAATGTAGATGTGGATCTTTCTAAATGTGTTAAGATTTTTAAAACTTTTATTTTATCAAGGTTGGGACCACATTCAAACCATAGATTCCTTACTACGAAAGGGAGGTTACAAAGCTCCCATCACAAATGACTTCAGGAAGACCATTAAGTTAACCAGGTAAGATTACAATCCCAACATTTCATCTGATTGATGCACACAATCCTGTATGCAAGAGTTTCGCCAGCCAAGCAGAATTGCTAAAATTGCATATAAAGCTATTAAAGGACACGTGTGTATATATATGCAATATATACTTTGCCTTTCAAGTAGCCTATAGGGGAACTCCACAGATTTTTGCACATTACAGTCTATTTATACGTTTTAGGGATTGCTACTATGTGAAATAAGTTGTATTAAGCCTTTTATGGCTTCAGAGCCATGTGAAATTCCATATATTGCCTTAAGTTAGACCCTCCAGAAAAACGCGGGCTAAAATCCTTGATTATGCGGGCTAAAATCCTTGATTATGCGGGCTAAAATCCTTGATTATGCGATTAAACATGCAGGGTTTTTATGTGATTTTATGCGGTGAAGTTGCGAAATATGTGGAAATATGATAAATATGCGAAAAGTTGCGAAATATGCGGGAAGCGGAAAAAAGGTGATTCTTCTCCCACACCCTGTTACTAGGCTACTACTGAATGAAAGTGAGCCCTTTTAAAGAGTTCCTATGATAAACAAGCATACTAGAAGCAAGCTACATCATAAAGTGTTATGTATTTATATATGGGCTATTTTAATCACTCTCTCTCACACACACACACACACACTCTTCTCCGCCTCATTCTGTTTTCATTTACTCGTTCGTTATCTGACCAGCTTCAATCTTGTAGGCTACTCACCTCGTTTCTTGTAGCCCTCGAAAGGGTTTTGGAGGTTGATGCCTCGGTGAACGCGAGTTGTTTGCCTTTCTTGTCCGCAGCAGCAGAAAGCATTTTAGAATGTTTGAATGAATCAAAGTGGGTCGTCACCGTCGATTTTCTCTTATGCTCCAACACACAGTTGCACGGGGTGCAGAATAGTTTCCCCCCACTTTCGTGCAAGACATCAGGGTACTGCTTTGCCCGGTCTTTAGCAGAAATGTTCGTCGGTAAATGAGATGGATTCGATTTTTTGATCTTGGTGTGTTCTCTCTCGTGTGAGTTCCACACGTTCACTCTACGGTGTTGTTTACCTTCTGTGATGCGCGAGCTGATGACGTCGCGTCATCATCACTACTTCACGTCAAGACGAGTTCACTTTTTTTTCTCTCAACTTTGTGTGGAAAAATGCGGGGATTATGCGCCCTTTTAATAAATATGCACCCTTTTACAAATCTGCGCCATTTTGCTGATTATGCGGTAAATTATGCGATCACATAATCGCGTTTTTCTGGAGGGTCTATTAAGTGATGTTACTCGAGGCAACATCGGTTGGGGCTGACGACAAATTTGATTACAATTAGGGGATCCATTTTTAAGCATTGCTAAGCTCACCACTCAAAATGGTTGCCGAGTGCTGCGTTCAAACGCTGACCTTTGCCTTGGTTGCGCTGACCTTTCAGAGTGCAACCAATCAGATAACAGTTGTATGTAGCAACGCAAGCTAGCAAAGGAGGTAACCATAGAAACTAAACCTTGCGATGAACAAGGAGCAAATCGCGTATCGTGTGTAGAGGGAATGCACAATAGTAAAAAGACGATATATTTGGTACTTCTGCTGTATACATTTTTAACGTTAGACTGCCTATTGTGAGATGGTGCAACTCAACATCTGTGGAGTTCTATCTTAAGGAACAATTGCATATACATGTTTGCTGTTCTAAGCCCAGCATCGACAGTAGGTCCTGTGCTTCGGTGTCAGTTGCTGACCATGTGCCTCTACCAACACGTCTCGTCTCGTCCCTAGGTACCGTAGCGAGAAGTTGACAATGGGTTATGCAGAGTACATCGCCCACCGCCAGCACCATCACTACCAGAACGGCATCGGGCACCCTCTACCACCCTACAACCATTATTCCTGACAGCGAGCCGCATGACCAATCACTGGACCTCTCCGCGGACCTTTTCCCAGGAGAGCCCGCCCCCTCCTGGTCTAGCTATTTCTACTACTGTACCATTTTATGATGATAGTTTCCGTTGCCATGCTAGCCGTCTCCCAGACGTTGACATGGCAACGGGGTGGCAACGAAAGCATCATTTGCTCATGGCAAGAAATCCAAATTTCTTTTTCTTTGCCCGTGGTTACGTTTTTGCAGCATATGTATACCAATATCTATAACCCCCCTATTCATTACATTTTTGAAAATGAAACCAATATTCGATTTTATTAATCTTAACGTCTTTTCAGCAAACCTAATCAGGTGTTTGATTCTGTGGATGGAAGGAAGTCTCTTACGGTGGATTAGTCTAGCGCGTATATTATTTAGGCTTTGCTAAAAATGTATCATTGTCTTAGAAATTATTCTTTATTTTATTCTTTATCTTACTATCCAGGCCATGTAGCAAGGCAACCGCAGTTTTCAAAGACTGAGTCGTCTCTATTCTGATTCCTCAACAGAGAAAACCCAACAGAATTGACTGTTGAGCTTTATCAACTCTTGTATTGTCGTAGTTGGAACTATATATGGGATCTGTATTCTCCAAAGTATAGATAGTAGGATTGTGATGCCCTTTTGCTGGTAGTGTTAATCGTTTGAGCTTGCAATCGTGTGTATATTTCTGTGTGTGGATATATATTTTGGTCTTCCACAAGATGGAGAAACCAGTGAGAGTGAAATTAGAAATTGGATTTTAACCTAAAGATTCCCTACAGATGTTTTTTGTTTTTGGAAACCTCCCCTCTAAGTATTTGTAGTGTTTTGTGGTGGAAGTTGTAGTCCCTTTTCTTTTAAATTTTAGATAAATGTGGAGGAAGCCATTTTGTCTGAGGATAATCATGTCTGTGCAGGGGATTTATTAGTTATCTATTCAAAAATGGGACACAAGTTGGTCTGATTTCCCTGCATTGGAATGTGGGAGCAGGCGCAACTCCCTTTGTCCCTAGATTTAAAAAAGTGCATGACAAATTTCATTTAAATGTACTGTCTGCTGAAGCTTACTGGCAGGGAGTCACTTGTCAGGGACACGCTTTAAAAAAAGCCATATTCTCTTTTTACTCCACTTTGTAAAAGTCTTGTTTAGCTCCAAATGTTTGCATACCAATGAAAGGATTTTGGGTCATCTGAATGCAAACTCACACCATCACTGAATGCTAGTCAAACCCTGTGGTTTCAGTCATCTGTCTTGTATATTTCCCGTGTCGTCGTGGAAACATTGTCTTGCCTCTTCAGAGTTTAGCTAACCATTTTATCACTCGTTCACAAAGTATGATGTATTAAAACTGTCATTTTGAATGAAGACGCACCACGTGACGCACAAAGGAGGTGTGTGTGATTCACCTGTCTGTGTCCTTTAGATGTGCATGTGATCGCGTCTTTTAGAAGCTGATGTAGTTGTTGAAACCGCACCTCCACCGTTCTCTTAACACACTGCGAGGACTGGAAATGTTTGTTGTGTCACTAGGTTGGAGCAAACACTGTTGAATTAGTTTGAGCAGAATCCGTGCCCTTGCTGTTAAAGTCTATAAAAAAAGCCAGGGCTTTGTTAGAACTTCAGAAGCCATTTCCCATCCTACTATCAATCGTGAGTCACATCCACACACACATTAGGCTAGTTGGATTAACTTTTCTAGAATGTCTTTGAGGGTCGTGAGACGCTCGCTTTGAGTTTGGCGTTCAGTTCTGCCCACTGGAATTTTGTGATAGGTTGTCGTTACTTGACATGTTTTTGGTAACAGCCTTTACTAACTGACAGGTTATTTTTTCTTTATGCAAAAACATTTCAAGGGCTTTTGGCACTCCATCCACAGTAACCCGAAATGACCCAGATTTAAGTTGTGTTGCCTTAAACGAATGATTTAATAAATGATGGGCCGACGGATGTTGCTCTGACTGTTCCTCTGTCCCGTGGTTTCCCAGCTCCCATCTTCACACCACAGTGTAGGAAAGGGCCTTTCCTCACTTGAATGCTAATACTAAGTTAGACATATGGGGGCTCCTGTATGCCTGCAGTGTCCTGTTAGCTCTCCCAGCTGCTGGGCCTCCATTCTTTCCGTTTTTGAAAGCCCCACATAAACACATTTTCTTAAAATAATGTCGGGGCTCTGTGGTGTTGTTTACCTTAGTGTGTAAAAACCATGGGAACACCATCTCCTTGTTAAATATACACTACATGAAAAAGAGGAACAGTCACGCCTTCATCCCCAGGCCCATTTAATACAGCACAACCTGAATTCTTCTGCTGCAAAACCAAATTGACCATGCTCTTTTACATATATGTCTTTGTGTACACATGCAATGTATTCAGTTGCATGTACGTATGAGTATGAGACCTATGGTTTTATCCATGATATGCTTGATCTATGGCTTAGACACTCTTATTAAACATTAAGAGATTTAAAAGACAAATATGGTGCTATCAGACCTCATATTGGGGTGGTCACGCGCTCGTGACGTCATGCGGACTCATCGATCATATCATACTTTAAAGATGCTGCATGTAAGATTTTCTCTTTAGAGTGTCGCCGCGAAATGAGTTATAGCGGCGCACTGTTAAATACCGGAAGATGTGACCGTAGAGCGGTAGAGAAGAATCTGTGCTTTCGTTAGGGCGACTTCCCTATGGGAAAAACAGATTGATATTCTTACCCATATAATGAAGAAGGAAAAGCCCCCACAGCAAACCTAGGGGCTACAGAATGTACTGTTAATGGTGGGGTATTGAGAGAAAATCCTACATGCGTTACCTTTACTATCCTTGATATATGCAGATCTGTTCAACAGGTGTTTTTTTTTTCTTTCTTCCTAGCAGTGCAAGTCAACACCCCTGCAGGTTTGAAAGGACAAGAAGCCATGCGAAGCCCCCCCCCCCCCCTCCCCTCCCCATCACCCTAGATTACTCCCAACACTGTGGCCTGGCCTCACGGCCAAGATGATCAAGGTTATGGGTCGATGGGTGGCAGTATTAGCATCCGTTCTCCTGGAATATTTGGATGCTGCTTTCTCAGAGCACTTCCTCTGTTTTTCCTTTAGCTGCTGAATGGTTTGCCCTCTGGGGGTTCAAAGGCGTAAACACCTCAAACTATGTTGAAGGTATTCATCTCCTACGATGGGACGAAGAGCTAATGTTTTAGGTAGAACGTGCAGAAGAAAATAGTCCCGCTTCTGTTCTGATTTATCTGTTTAAAGCATCGATACCTCATGGGATTTAATGGAACGGCATTGGTAGTTCGTTGTAGCAGATTGTGTTTTGGTTCCATACCAGGGTTAGAGTTCGGCCTCAGCATTCCGTGTGCGTTCGCTCTCATATTTCGTGGAATGCTCAAGCTCGTGTTACCTTCGTATGTTCGACTGAACCAAAGATGCCAGCGGCCGTGCCCACATGCTGCTCACAGGCCTGGCTTCCTGTCCTTTCAAAAGACACCCTCCCCTGCAAATTGACAAAATGTTTTTCTGTCTATTTTGTTTTGTGTGTGCAATTTCTCAACTGTCTTGACTTGTTAAGCAACTTCTCAATTACTTTTCATTGAGTCTCTCTGAAGCCGTACGTGGCATCAAGGATGGTTGCAAATTGTTGTTACTTGTTTTGTTTATTATTATTATTATTATTATTATTAGAAGTAGTATTAGTATATTATTGCTATAATTTACAAAAATGAAAATCCCATGGTGTGCCTCCTAGCTTTATGGGTTTATACACGTTTTTTTCCCTAAAGACCAGCAGTTATACTTTGTATAAAAGATGGATTTTTCCTTATTTTTTATGCCATTAAAGATGAAAAGCCTGTTTTCGTTACTCTGGACCCAGTAGCTGCACTGGTATACAATCGCACTGATAGATGAATATTAACAACAAAATAGAGAATAAATGAATCAATAATAATAATGATAATGACGAATGAAATAAGAACTACAATAAACTTGTGTTTGAAGCTTTTATATTAAAACAAAAAAACATCATAAAGAAAAAAATAAAATGACTGTTTTTGTACATCAAAATAAATTCTTTTCAAAAGAATATTTTGGATCTAGTTTCAAAATTATTTTAGTGGTTTTCTATGTTCTGAATTTCTGAGACACTAAGACGTGTCACTGTACAAAAAGACTTTCTGTTGCAGTGGCCTGATGGCTGGGAGGGTTGCCTGGTGTAACGCCTCATACCAATTATTTTTATTTTCCTTTCGATATTTTGGATCTTTTTCTTAAGTACATTTAAAAAAAAAAAAAAAAAGTTTATGGAATATTAAGAAAATGGGAACTTTGAATCTATCCCCTGTAGAACTAGACCCTTCCTCCTTTCCTATTGAATTGCTGTTATTGTGACAAGACTTGAAACGGGCATTTAATATGATAGTATGACTCCAAAAGAAAAAAAACACAAAAATAAACACACAAAAAAAAAGAAACTAAAGAAAAAAAAAAGCTAAAGTGTGGGGAGGGTTGAAAGAATATATATAGATGAGTATGTAAGCAATGGCTGTGAAGATAATGTAGTTTTAAACATTGTTATTACCGTTTAAATCATTTATTCAATAAAAAATACAAAATCAACTGAAAACACATCGTGTCATTTGATTTTTTTTCAAACACATCCACACATAGTGTTTGCTATTACAGTGTGTTTCACATTTAGATATGCGTAAAACCAATGTGTTCATTTGCTAAGGAATGCTATGGATTATGTCAGTTGCACACTGACTTTAATACTGTACATATATTGTGTTCAGTTTGCTCGATTAGATTGGGATGAAGGCTGTCCTCAGTCTATACATTTCAATCACACAGAATCACACAGAATGAAAGTAGAGGTGGACAAAACTGAGAAAGAGTACGAGGGCCAGACATACGGAATACATAGGATCTTTTATTTGTTTTGCATTTTTATGAACAAAGGGGTTTTCTGAATGTGTTGACATAATTATTGTTGTTCAATGTATTCTCGACATTTCTTCTTTATACTCAACATTTAGATTTTATTCTCGACATTTCCATTTTTTCCAGACTTTATTGTTTTATCGACATTCCTATTTACTGTAAACATTTTGACTTAAGTCTCGACATATCTTCCTCTTCCTAATTGTTCTAATACTTGACAAAGAAGGTTCAGAACAACTTGCTCCTCTCATTTGTTCTCCTCATGCCTGGCCCTAATACTCTCTGTTCCCTATCTATAATTCTGTGAGATGACCTCAGCACCCTTGTTATGATATTAGAGCATGCAGGGCACATGCTGAGGCTCGGGGCTAAATGAGACTCTGCTGACCGATAAAGATGCCATTAAAGGTACAAAAAACCCAGTCATAAAACATCACAAAGGTATGGTTTAAACTGAACAAGGGAGCTCTTAGTTACTGAAAAGTAATGTGACCGCATCAATAGAACATTATTAAGGATCGTCATGACAACTGGGGAAACTCCATCTGCTGAAGAAGATCATGGGATATGATCGAAAGCTGTTGAGGATCTACTATATTGAGCTTATACAGGCCCTTTTTATGCCCATTTCCAGGTTCGTATCTGTATCTTGTGCCTCTACTGAGACATGTGTACATGCTTTAATGTTCAAAAAGCTCTTTATTTTTCTCAAACTGTATAGGACAGAAACTCCCTCTGGAGGGAACTTTGGGATTTTAGCCTTTGCTAACATTTACATGCACACACATCTATATAACACACTACAGGAAAGGGGAAACCCCTACAAGCATAACAGGGTGTCTTTAATAAATCATCGTCATCAGACATTTTGTACAGAGCTCAAGTGTTGACACAAATAGCTTGATGTTGGGTTGGCTATGCTTATTTTCTTTTTGATTCTCCTTGCTTAAACTGCCTTTATTTCATGGAAATCAACAATAAATGTAGCAACAACCTGTTAAGGTTATTGACTTGTGGTCAAATAATTGTTGTTTACTTAGCCTTAAATACACTCAGGGTTTCCAGTCACTTCTACAATATGTAATTCTAGTACTAAGACTGCTAAAGGAAGTCAGTCAAAAAGGATTGTATCTGTGGGAGTTTAAAAAGGCTCTCAGTTCGTAATAATCAAATTGTTATTGTGTATTTACATTCACAAAAACCTATATAACACTACAGGAGAGGTAATACCCTAAAAAGCAGAATAGGGCCCCTTTAAAGTCACTTTTTTTTTTTGTCTAACTTAAACACTGTAGCGGACTTCCACCAAAGTGGTTCAGCGTCTTTAAAAGTGATGTCACAGCAGGGTGCAGAGGTTCAACAGACCACACTTCCTTGAGCTAAATCATTTTCTATCAGTGCTTTGTGGGCTGTACTGGTAACACATGCAGAGCTGCACAAAGCGCTGAGCACCGAGTCCTCGTCTGAAAATACATTGCTGCCGGTTACATGATATTCAGGGCTATAAGTGCTCAGAAATAGTTCAGTCTGCTGCTGGTGTAAAACACACACACACACACACACACACACACACACACACACCACACGAACGCGGTGCTGACCAGCACTTTGCTTCCTGTGCTGAGTCTGCCTCTGGGCCTCCATCTGCCTGAATAAATGAATCAAGTCCATTTTCAATTTCCATTCAATTCACTTTATTTCACCAGGCATTTATACTGCCTTGCCATTTGTTATAACATGTGTCAACCATATCAATCCCATTACCCTTCACTTCCCCGAAGCGGTGATTGTGTGTGTGTTGACCGAGGGGCAGGGTAGGAAACAGGAGAACAGGTAAGTGCTTCCTGCCGCCTCTCAGCTCTCCTGAGGTTTAATTATTTTGAATTTCAAGTACATTTATACCCAATATTCCCCTGTGTGTTTATGCATCCACAACAAGCTCTTGTGGTAAAGAGCAGTATACTTTAAACAAGTTTCTGCTCTTAACCCACCTTGAGGGCTCTTTGCAGCCCCCCCCCCTCCCCCCTCACTTGACTGCCTGTATTGACGCGGTGCTACATCTCACTTCAGTTGAATCGCTGCTGCACTTAAAGCTTTTGGCCCGAGAGAACAATGTGTCCAAACATACGTTACAAAAGCCAGAGTTTGTATGAGTCAGACAGCAGCCTGGCTTCAGCGTGCTGGACTGGAAAGACGTATTCATTGAGGAAGTTAGGAGATTTTTGAATAAGTAAGCTCCCTCTTGTCGAGAAGCTGGAGCCAGTTGGCGAAGTTTAAAAGCAAAACGGCTGCTGGCTTCTGGACTTGACTCTTGTCGGGGTTTGATCCACAAAACTACCCAGAATGTTTTACTGCTGCATGCCAACCCTAATAACAAAATAATTATCTCTGTGGGTTACGTTTTACTCTATTTTTCATTATTTGGTTTGATGATTTTCAAAAGAAACATGTAGTTAGACCACAACAAAATAAAAGAACAATTGCTTAAGAATAAAAAAGACAACTTGGTTATTAGTAAAAAAAAAAAAAATTAAGAAAAAAAGGTAAAGTACATTTTTCACAAGGTTTTTATGTTGTCATTTCCAAGGACCCAACTGCATGCCATTTTCCCTGAACATGCCCACATATAAAGACCTTTGTTTTGATTTTAGATTTCCGGATACAAGTTAATACTATTGGTAATTATGTTATAAATTATATATAAAAATGTATACTTAGGAAGCATTACGCTATAACCTTTGGTGAGTCCATGACTCAAACATTTGATAAGTTCCATCCATTGTAGGCCAATTATATTGAGTCATTCTGCATGCTGGGAACCAGAACACCACTATATCGGGTTTTCCAGAATAGCCCATGTCATGGTAAACGAATACAGACTGAAGGAACAGTTTTAGATTATGTGCTAATACATTTCAGGGAAAATGGGAATGATCTTAAAACTGTACAATGAAAGTGTTAATTAAGACAAGGGTTTTAAAAAAAAACGTACCTTGAACATGGTTAGAATATAAAAAGAAGCTTAATATACTCAATGAGAACTGAAATAACTTTTATTGTCAGTACATCACACACACACTCAAACTGATAGAAATACAAAAGTCTTATCCCTTCTTTACAGTGAAGTATAGTATCATATGCTACAGTAACATACACACTCATTCTCAACACTTGAAATGATATAAACCATTACTGAATGGTCAATGCTGGTTAATACTTTCTCACCAATGGCTCGTCATTTAATGACCCAAAGTGACTTCATGCGGACCCAATGATGATGCGTTTCCTGTGCACTAAACTGAGCCTGGGAGTGAATTCAGGTGCCTTGTAGATAAACTCAAAGATTGAGCAACACATTTTTTCCAAGTGTCCAATTCCAGGATAGATGCGTGTTTTGTCAAGATCTTCTCCGTCTCAGCAAACATCAACGATGCAGTGACGGTCATACCCAAACAAATATGGTTTGATATAAAAAACCGACCTCCTTGGCGAAGGTAGGAACCCCCCCCTGTGTATATCCATGTATCGTCTTTCATATTTTTTGCATGTAATACATCCTTGTGTCCCCTGATTATCACAACTGGAATGATCTGAGAGGGCTGGAGACAGTAACGCAGAAAAGAGGCTACTCATAATGTACATGTGGGAACAGAGGGACAACATGAACACATTTTCAGTCATGACAACACAGAGGTCATCATACATAACAGACATCCGACTATAAACAAGCATTCACTTTTACAACGTGTCACATACACAATCTTTTTCAGAACACACTTGAGACTTAACAAAAAAAGGCAGCTTTACCAACGTATGATATAGCAAAACTAGTAAAGAACTCAAAGTGTAACAACTGCAGATTGGTGACTTATTTCCTGTCCTGAAAACGTACAAAAAAGGCAGCTTGAGAAATATACTTTAAAAATTCTTCTTTCCAAAATTGTATTCCCGAGAAAAAAAAATAAACTCCATGATGCTTACTACCAGCCCTAAAATGCATATTATGTTTGTGCATGCAAGTATGAATGAATGAATGTAGTACAACTACCACACTAAAATAATGACACATTGATCCACTGGCCCTGAAATGCTCACTTGCTTCAGTAAAACATTGGTAAGTCCTAAAAAGATGCATTAAAAATGTTGATAAAAAAAGAAGAAGTAGTCTCCGTGACAAGAGCAGACATTAGAGAGAAAGGCTGGGTCTGTGTGAATCCTAAGGGACGTTCAGTCGACTTTCTTGCTGCGCAGTCGGAGTGTGTCCAGTAGAAACCTGCTCATGGAGCCAGTGTGCTGCGAGAGGAGGGTCAGCACCTTCCCGTGAACCAGGGTCAGCAGGGTCTGGTGGCCCGTGGCCCAGACCCGGTACCAGGGGCCGTAGAAGGGGTCGGACACAGCCGGGCACAGCATGTTGTTCAGGTTGACCTCGGTCGCCTGGGAGACAGAGACAGACATGTTCATCATATGATGCTGGTAGCAATCAAATACGTTTTATGGCTGAGTTCAATTTAGTGTCCTTTGCTTTATAACCATTTCTTTAAGTAGAAAAGACTTGGCAACTAAATATACTCAAAGTACCAAAAGTAAAAGTACTGTTTATGCAGATTTGTCTATTTCAGAATAATATATATGATATGTTTTATAATGATTGATCATTAAAGTGTTCTCAAAGCTGGTAAAGGTGCAGCTAGTTTGAATGACTTTGTATACTGCAGGGTAGCTTGTGAATTTACTCCAGGTGGAACTAAAGTCTGATTTAACACTTGATTATATTTCATATCATTAATCTAAATCTGTAAAGTAACTAAAGATATTAAACAAATGTAGTGGAGTAAAATAACACAAATCACCTCTGAATTGCAGTGGGGTAGAAGTACAAAGTAGCACGAATAGAAATACTCAAGTAAGTCCCTCAAAATGGTACTTAAGTAAATGTACATAGTTACTACACACCTCTGGTCCATACCAAACAGTTATTTGAGTAAATTATAAATGTAAAAATATGAGAATAAAATTAATATATTATATGATGATATTATAATAATTGTTATGTTTAGTGCACTTTTACAATCTACTGAAAACCACATATAAATATTTAATATTAAAAGTATATAAATAAAAGTTACACATTCATAAATAAATACATTTAAATATGTTATAGTGCACTGCCACAACCTACTGAAAGCTAAACATAAATATTTATTGTAAAACATATGCTATAGTGCATTTCCACAACTTACTGAAACCTAAATACTTTGACACATTCAGCATTTGGGTAAACTATATTCTATAAGGCAGTCATTTAGTCAAAATGGTCCAAGTATATAGAAGGGGAAGGCCGTAGTGCGCTGGATAGACAGAACACAAAACAAGGTCATTATTTGAACCCGGAATGTGGCACGATAATGGTTTTATCTGGATTTCCTTGTTTCCATAAACATCACAAACCAAAGTTGTAAATGAAAATAAATGATGATTAACTTGCTGGCCCTTTTTCTGCCCCAACCAACATTAAAACTGATCCCCCATATTTCAGCTGATGGAGAAGAAGCCTGAGAACCAGTGTCCAACCACACTTTAAAACACTTGGAGAAACTAATCTCACAAGTGCCTTCACATGAAAAAATACTTACTAAAAAGAGACATATAAGCTAAATAAAGCCTGTGGACTTTGGGTTATCATTAGGCAAGCTCAACCTCTTGCAGGAAAAGTACAAACATCGGCCAAGATTCAGATTAAATATACATTTTTGATATTTACTCAAAGTAGGTTTCTGAATTCTCAATATAAAACTCAATCGGAAAAGTTAACAGAGCAGAGGAGTCTCATGAAGACCAGAGTTTCAGGAATGAATGCCGATATGAGGTGTGCATTAAGAGAAATGAAGGATCAAAAGACCTAAAAAACAGGTCCTACACTCTGATTGGCTGAAAGGGGAAATGCACCAAGCTGCTCTCAATGCTTCATTAGGAACCAAAGGGTGATGTGAATAACCTGCAATCATTTCAGAGAGCGAGACATTTCGTTTGAAGGAATTGGAAAAATAAAGATTGGTAAAAGTGACTTTATGTGAGAGTTTGATACTCATGATACTTCCGTGTACTTTTGCACACCATGTTGCAGCCGGGCAGACACCATTTGGCCCTTTTTCATCCCCTCTATTAACCTCGGTTTCTAACTCAAGTGGATTTACACTTCTAATTGCTGTTCAACTCAACGTGACTCACTCATGCTGCTGCCTCTAATTTCTATGTACAGCCGGGTGGACAAAATAATTGCAAGTGTCAAAGAATAGGATATGTAACCAGCTGCGAAAATTCTAAAGAAAATCATGAGAATGCAGGAGCAGAGCTGACAGGCAGGCCCTTAAACAGCCACTGGTGAAGCACTTACAGCACTCTGGCATTGTATAGCCGGAACACAAATCAACATGGAATACAAAAAATGAATGACTTATCCATTAATTCAGAAAAACAAAACAAGGTGAGGCATACAAGAAAACTCAAGACCTTTTTAGTCTAGCTTTTAATTCATCTGTATTTATCCTTCCATCCATTAAATTCTCCTTACTTCATGGTATGTTGGTACACTAAGTCATTCTTTTTTTAAATACTGTCTAATCCTGCCTCTGGTGTTTCCTCACTGTACTGTGAGGAGATGTGATGTTTCTTTAGTTCCTGTTTTTTTTAATGTATTGATCGTTGTTATTATCGAGTCATTTAGGGTCCTTTAGTGCTTTGTGTGCAGAAGGAGGAAGGGTTTGTTGTATTGTGTGAAGCATATTGTGTAACATTTTACTTTTAAAGTCTGAAGTTTTTGTAATAGTTGTGTAATTGTCTTGTAATTGCTTTTCTTACTGTGATAAGTGAATTGTAATGTAGAATTAAATATGCTTATTCTAATACAGAGGACTTCATGACACTTGCTGTTATTAAAGGATCAGGCTCAGTGCAAGCTTGTTTGCACTAGATTACTATATTTATTCAATCTTCAAAATTAAAAAAGGAATTGCAATTCAAGTGTATTTTTTTTAAATCAGCATCAAACAGGCGCAAGCTAAAACAGGAGAATACATTCCAGTATGTAATGTAAGTAGTAGATAAACATTACATTGAATGAGTCAGTATCAGCCCTGAATCAAAAGCAAGAGCCTGGAGGACGTTCAAATTAGGCAGTGAAAAAAACACCCAAATCCCACACTAGCATTTAACGTGTTTTGAATCTGCACATTTATATATTATTTAAGGAGGTGCAATCATCCCATGCATAACAGGAGAAGTGTATATGTATTTAGATGTTATGTTTCTTGTTCTTTATACCGTTTCAGTTTTATTAATCATTCAATCACAGTTTTCCTTTGCTTGTTTGTTTGTTTGCTGCTGGAACAACTGTGGTTTATATGCGTTGTCGAGCTCTTGCAGCCTATCATTCGGCCAGGTAGGGTCAGTTATGTCTCTGAGGGCCCAGGTCATAAGGGCGAGGCATTGGGATCGGACCATTCACTCATGTTCTCTGCATAGGGACGTATAGTGCTGTAGCCAGCAGGGGGCTCCATCTTACCAGGCCGAGCAGCTGCAGGAAGAGGAAGTGGTAGAGGAAGAGGAGGCCGGTGGAGAGCAGAGCCCACCACATGTCCCCCAGAGGCTCCGGCTTGTACACACCTGCAGAAAAAAGAACCTCAGTTATGTAGGTTAAAGAGAGAAGGAGCGCACAGAATGTGGCAGCGCTGGCCCAGCTGACCTCCCCTGTGTTTGTGCATTTGCAACACGTCAGTCATGTCAACAGATGGAACACCCTGCAACCACGGTAACAGGATGCGGTGTCAAACTGGCTTTTCCTGTTTCCTCACTGCTGCTAGAGAACTACCAGGGGAAGACATTACATGTGCACCGATTATGTCAGTTTGAACAAGAACAAAGAACGCTTCCTTTTGTGAGGCTCCAGTGTTACGTTGCTAATGAACAATGAGGCACTTCATGCAGAGGTTGGATTACTGTGATGCGCCCTAGTTACATTTAGACATGAAAACTTTTTTTTTAAAGCTCTCAACCAAACCATAGTTAAGCACTCACAGGAATTTCCCCCTGTACCAACATGTTAGCTTGTCTTGCCTACAGGTGAGATTTCTCCCCCCACACATTTACACATGGGAGCATTGAGTGAACCGAAGGGCACTGACAGCAGTTTCTGCAGGGAATACTGTAAATGCATCTAGATGTGCAAAATGAGGTTTCCAGTTTATGTACATGCCTTCATGTTGTAACGGGCGAGAGCAAAAGGTGTTTGTTTGGAGTAAACAGATAATTACGTGATTTAGGTGAGCCGTAAAAGACACAGCGGTTGCACTGACTCAAACACCTTCAACAAAATGGAATTCATCCAAAGATAAAAAAGGTCATGGTAGCCTTGTGTGGTTGGTACATGAGAGGTATTTCACCTTGAGTGTCAATGTGAGTGGAGAGATTTTTAAAGGTCAACACTAACCTCCTTTCCTGAACAGGTATAGAGGCACCAGGTACAGCATGGAGTGCTGGATGTAGTAGATCTCCTTCTCAAACGGCAGCTGAGGAGAGAATACACCATTACACTTCTAAACGACCTACATTAAGCAGGACATTTGCTTATCCAATTTGCTTATAATGTATATAGTTTTAAAGAGGCCCTTTTTTTTGTTGCTTTTTTCCCTTTCCTTTAGTGTTATATAGGTTTGTGTGCATGTAAATAGTGTGCAAAGTCTCACATCCCAAAGAAGGGAGTTTTTTCTTTGCATTTTCCATGCTAAGAATTGTATCATCGCATCTAGTTCTAAAGGTCACCTATTATGCAAAATCAAGTTTGTCAAGTATTTTATACATAAATATGTGTCCCCTCTGTGTTAATAGATCTGGAAAGTTTCAGGAAAAGTGCCAGTTTGTATTTAAAGCAACAGACACATAATCAGCTCTTTTGGAAACAGGGGTTTATGGGATGCTACAATGCTCGATCAGTTGGGTATTTTGAGCCAAACACTGCAGAGACATGTTTTTTATATATCTGAGACCTAAATTATATTGTTGAAAAAGAGTATAATAGGGGACCTTTAAGAGGTCACACTCAGAAATATAACAATAACTATAAATATATTGTTTTAAAAACACAAGGGTCCACATCACAACTTTGTTGCCATTGTGGTCACTTTCTAAGGCTAGCCTTCTCAATTAAGATTTATTTAGTTGATTCACCTTTTTAGATTGTTTTTTTTATGCTATTCCATGAAACTTAGGATCACGTCTTTGGTAAACACCATACTTAAGTAACCATCAATCAACTCATTGAAGAGTGATTTGATGTATGATAGAAACACTGTCAGCCACACAGGAGGGTGGATTAATACAATTGTCTTTTAACATATTTTCTATTAGCAATAAAGTGTATTTTATTTATTTTTCACACCCTTATGCATATTCCCTGCACAACATGCGGCAGTAACTGCTCATAACCATCCACTGTACGGCTCAGACACAGCTGGAGAGTGCAGCGTGTATTTAAAGTTATCATTATAGTTATCATTCTTGGTGTGGACGGACATTAAATCAGTGTGGGACTTCCTGCACTCTGTCTGCGCCGCGCTCTAATGCACTGACCTCAGAGCAGCATTAATAACCGGCGCTGGCTGCAGTTTGAACTGTGCTCTGCTGGCTCTGCATGAGAGCAGCGCTTCAGTCGGGGTTTGTTGAGTCATTTCTATCCATTATTCTACAGCTAGCGAGTGGAGTTATTAGGGAGCGTGGCATCAGAGAGCTAAAGCTAACCTAAGATCAGGGCCTCAGACTCAGGGTTGAATGAAAATGAAAACCACTTTAGCAATAAATATACCTTTTTGGTTTAGAAAGAAACCATCTGCACGACTAGGGATACTTATGATACCACTACTTTTTACATTTTTAATACAAATGTATAACTCAAGTAGATGTATGAGAGTATCTTTTGTCAATTCTGTTGAAACTGTACAAATCATGGACATTCCTCACATTCATTTTTAGATCTGTGGTGAAGACTATTTTCGCAAGATGACCTATTACATTATGTACTATTGACGCTATTGGGCAATACACTAGTTCTGTACAGACATACTTCCTTGTTCAAAAAAGGTTCTTTATCTAACAGGAAATAGAGTTATGACAGGAAGCCTTTGCTTTTCTTTGGTCCGAGCTGTTCTGTAGTATGAACATTTGATCTTCACAGGGATCATGTTGGACAAAGCTCAAACTGGCAAAACTTGATTAAATGTAAGCAAATATACTTTAGAGTGCATTATCTTCTGCATCTGGGGCTCGTCTGCAGCTGTCAGTGAGAGCCTTTCAAGCAGCCAGTGATTTCCTTTAGTAAAAATAGATTCCCATCATCAATTAAGCTTTGCCCTTGAGACCATATTTTCTTTTCCAAATGTTTGAATTTAGTTCTTTAGATTATTTTCTTTGGAGATGCTAAATGTACTGTAACAATCATAAAACTGTCAAATGTTTGAAAAAGAGAAGATAAGTAGTCATCTTAAACATGTCAAAGCTAAGGGATTTAACTTGTTCCCCTGCTGAGCTGTCATAAAAAAATAAGTATCTGGATTATGAAGACACCTCCACTTCAGAGACAGAAAAATGGAGCATCAAAGAGTTTTTAACGGAGATTTTCCAGTCCTAGTTGCTTACCAGTCTAGTGTTGACTACAGGGAACATTAATGCCAGTAGTGCACCATTCAGCATGTGGACATGCAGCCTGTAAACACACAAGGAAAAAATGAGTAAGCTAATAATAATATTAAAATTCACAAACATCTCACATCCTCCATCACACCTGCCAGGAACATCTTAACACCAAATTTCCACATTGCACGCACCATTGCATTATCGACATATGAGTTTGAGTTAGTGCTGATATAAGCACAGAGGGCCAGGTGGAGGACGGTGTGATTATGTTCCGAGCTGCTGTAAGCCAATCAGAGCGCTCCCTGATGCTGTTAGCAGCAGCTGTCTCTCCTCCTTTGGCGGGGTGCGTTCCTAGTGGAAGTGTTGAATGTGACAGGTCAGGTCACAGAAGGCACAGGCTATTAGAAGCTTTTTCTCCAAGCGTACGTTTAAGATTCCTGACGTTTTTAACAACCATAGAGTAAGTTTCTGTCATTTATCTGGTTACTCTGGCTATTCATTCATTATGTGCCTGAAACAGAGGATTATATTCATAAGTTTTGTCTACAAAATGTCAGAATAAAGTGACAAAATGTCCATGAAAGTTATTTAAAGTCGAAGGAGATGTCTTTAAATGTGTTATGTTATTCCAAAATATTCACTTTCAAATGCTTCAAAACCAAGAAAAGCAGAATATACTTTACTTGAGAGGCTGAAATCAGCATTTCTGCAGGAAAAATTACTCAATGATCAGGCCTTTCAATGTAGTTGCTGGTTATGTCTCTATTGATGGCCAGATCATTGATTCGAGTACAGCTCCAGCATAAATGTAGATATAGCCAAGTCTTTAGTTGGGGCACATTCTTCAGTTGCTTCCATCTCACTCGCTATTCACCACACACACAGCTGATCCTGCAGACAGAGTGTAGGTGGTTTTGGTGTGGGGATTGTGTGTGATGCTTGTTCAGTTAACTTCTACACATTTCTTTTTCACCAAAAGTTATTGTTAGAGCTGCCGTATCCAAAAGCCCAGGAGCTTATGTGTCAAAGTGCGTGCCCACGTCTAACTCATGTGTTTGCTCTTTTGTCAAATGAGCCAAAATGACTGTTGTGACAGCCAAGGTCAGTGTGAGAACTGTGGAACTGTGGGAGTGTCAGTTAGACTGAGTCCAGCTGTCACTCCGGACCTTAGAGGTAAAAACGGGGGCGTGTGGTGCAGTGGGTTGTGCGTTGGTGTTCGGATCAGGGGGTCACAGGTTCAAACCCCACTGCAGTCAGTATGTCGTCGTGTCCCTGGGCAAGACACTGCATCCCAAATTGCTCCTGTGGGGATTTCCCACAGTATTGAGTATGTAAGTCGCTTTGGATAAAAGCGTCTAACAAGTGACGTGTAATGTAATGTAAAAACGGTCTACCTTATTCAAATACACCACCACTGAGGCTGCAGCCACATTACAGTTCTCTATCAGATAGACGGTTCGGCCACACAAGGCCGACATGGAAACGCAGAAAACGATAACGAGTCCCAAGGTGGGTAGATCTGCGGACGAAACGCTCTGGGGGGCCAAACGGCTCCGTGATTACGCCCTATAACGATCATTTCCTGCTAACGATGACGCAATAGCCCCAGTGTTTCGAGCCAGGTCCCGGTATCTCGCAGGACAGTGCACCCAGCAGGAGCTTCCAGCTAGATTTGATCGATTTGGACATAAACGCGAGTGAAGTCTAATCGGACAGGAGAGGAGACACGCAGCTCTGCATGATAACCTGCAGCTCCGCCCGCTGTGATGGAGCGATGAGCTGAACAAAACACACACTGCAAGTTAGATCATCACCCTTAGCTATTTTAATTACCTCTCAAACTACCTAAACTAGTTATAAATATGTTTATTTTTACTGTCGGGTCACTCATTACTGGAACAGCCAGCTGCATGAGACCACGGATACTGACGGGCTGTCAGGAGAGGGGGAGGAAAAGAGAGGCTCCGTCCTCCGTGTATTGTTCTTATATTATTATATAGAGTCGTTATTCATTTGTTTTAAAGCTCAGTAAATAACAAAGAAGACCTTTGACCGGCACTTTTCTAATTTTGTCCGGGAGATTTAAACTTTAACGGACATGTTGACCGGCGAAACCCCACCTCTGCTGCTAAATCCAGCGCGGAGAATAAACAGAAGGGGAACCATGGCAACCATGCATGCGGGAGAAGTCTTAGTCGCTGCTTTTGGTGTATTTTGTGGCAGAAGTACAGCGCCACTTACAGGCCCGGCATATGTACTACAGCGTCTCCAGCGGTTCGAGCTGTCTCGTGTGGACGGACATGTTTCTGGTGCCTATTGGACGGAATACTTTTTTGATAACGATTTCGGTGCGTTTCCGTTATCGTCCTCGTGTGGCTGCAGCCTTAAACCTTAAAAGTGTTTGGTTTTTATTTAAGATTATAGAAAGGAGCTTTAGTATGTCAAGTGTATTGATGATTTGGGAAATAGGCATTTACCTTGATATATCAATCACTACACTATGATTAGACCTTTTACAGGCACAAAAACCTATATAACACACCACAAGAAAGGGAAAAGCTAAATAGGGCCTCTTATAACGGGGACTTGTTTTTGAAAGAGTCACAAAAAAAATAAAAAAGTTGTCCCTCAGACAACAGTCTGACAGTGAGTTTTTTTTAGTTACAGCGGATCAGTTTTATATATTGCAGAGATACACAAGAGCAGCAGTTAGATTTAGTACTAAGGCTGCTATGAAACGACTCCTTTCACTGTGCCCTGCTGTTTTGTTCATGGCCTGAGAGAATAAGGCTGATTAGTCACCCGCTTCTCTATTGAAATGAGAGTTTGTGCGGTTGCATTTTAAACAGATACACCGGTTACTTTCACTCCCTGTTGTATGTCTAACAAAGCCGCTGCTCAAGGAGTTTTCTCTGTAGTTTCTAAACCGCACTTGCTGTTGCTATGGTTACCACGCCGAAATCAACCAGTGCTGAAATCTTTATGAGTCAACAGGATTACAATTTAAAGCATTTGTTTTTCAAAAAAGTTCCTATGTTTTTATTAAAGCCATCATCTGCGGGATTTTTTTCCACATGCCACGTTTACACAAATGTCAAAGAAATCATAACATTATTTCTCAAGGGAAATACACTTAATATATCTGGCAATCAGGGTTTTTCTAGAAAAATATAGTATGAGGACAATACTGTGGCGCTGATCTTGTATACAAGATATATACATTCTCACGAGACCATAGTGCCCGTATAGAAGACGGCTCCGTAAAAACAAAGTTGTTTATGCCGTCTGACAGTCTATTTGACACGATTTACAGTTTTTGACGAACAGAAATATTGTTTTCTGTCATCACTTTAAAATGTTACGAGGAATATCTGCATTTTGGTATGAGGGCGCACCTAAAGTAAGAGGGCACAGCTCCCCTGTCACCCGGTTGAGACAAAATCCTGAGTATTATATAACATAGTCTATTATGAGAAAGAACATCTTGGCCTGAAGGATCAATGTCATTTTCTGAAGTGACGTACTTAAACAATTTTGTTTTCCAAATATGAAAGAAGATTCACAGACTCACTATTTAATTAGCTACTTTATAGTCATTTCAGGTAGCTTCTGTTGCCTTGATGAAACCTCTCACTGCAGCTGCATCGGACTCCCATAGGGCTGAGGAAACAGAAAGTGACCCTGCTCGTATTTATTTCAGAGTAAATCCAACTTCCCACTGGCAAAAACACTATCATTCTCCGGAATAATTAACTGTCCAGACAGGAGCAGTTGGTGAGGCGTGACGACTTTAAACCCCAACAAATCTATTACAATAAAACTCTACAAGTAATTACGATCAATGTGGCAATTGCTTTTCATATGACAATAAAAATAATTTGGGTCTGTCTGCCCAATCATTTTATATTACATTCTCTGCAGGTACGTCTTACGGTTTGTTGGCATAGAGTCGTGACCCTTTAATGATATATACACAATACATTCTTTAATTTTACTGAATGTAACACCAAAAGGAGCCAGGGGGGGAAATACTCACCTAAATACAACCATTGCTGTTGTACATGGCGGGCAGGCCAGCAGGAAGATCTGTTGAAGAAAGAACAGAGAGATGACAAAGTGCATTATCACACATCTTTAGTGCCTCTAAAGCAATATGAAGAAAATCAACAAATTGCTTTAACGCATTTTTATTATAATAAGATCGGAGGCCACTGTTAAGTGCTTCTCGCTTCAAATGAGAAAACAAAATGCCGAGTTCAGATGGGACCCAGGAGGTTGGTCTAACAATTACTGTAGATTTGAAAGCATTAGAATGGCTGACAAGTGCTGGCATAAATGTATTTTATTGCCTGATTTCAAACAGGCCTGTCGATAGAAACAATCCACAACTCATTGCACATGGAACAGGGAGAAGGAGAATAATCAATTTCTGTTGCAGGAAGGCCATGAGCGGGAATAAATCCTGGACTTTTTCATTGACCGACGTGCTTTGGTCAGGCTTTCTTAAGTTTATGATAATGACTGTTATAAATTAAAACCTTGAACGTATGAGTCCAGGTTAAGTTTATAGCAGAATCAAGTGACCTACCAAAAACACTAACAAAAGCTCCATGTTTAGGCAGCAGATATTTGATTTAAAGAGGTTTTTCCCTTTCCTGTTGCGTTTTTAAGAATTGTGTGCATGTAAATGGTTTGCAAAGCCAAAAATCGCCCCCCCCCCCACCTGCCTGAAACGCCTCCATTGGACTATGTTGACTTCTGTATTATAATGACATCACCATGCAACACTTGCACTTCTATTGGCTAGCGCTCTTACAAATTCTACATGACAGGCTAAGGGGCGGGACATCTCTAAGTGATTGACCAATCACAACAGAGCCAGCCTGTTGACCAATCAGAGATCAGAGCAGACTGGGTTCTGGTTTCAGACAGAGGGTGAAAAGAGGTGCTGCAGCACAGGCAGTATGAGAACAAATAAATATTTGAACATTAAAAGCATGGAAACATCACAGTAAAGGCACACAATACAAAAATGAACCTGAAAATAAGCATAATAGGGCCCCTTTAACATTCAATGAGAACTAAAGGGAAAGCTAGTTTATAAATGGTTTCTAAATCATTCCTTTCAAATACAACTGCACATGTTGGCTTTCTAATTGAATGACATTATATGATACTTTGTAATTTATCATCCCAGTTCTGCATCTATGCTCAGCGACTGTTCTGTTTAAGGATAGTGCAAACATGGATTGGTTCAAAACACCATCTGACACAAGAAAGGGTTGGTTTGCCGGGAGGCTAGAGGCTGCAAACAGAATTACAAGAAAGCAATTTACTTCTGTACAAGTTTCCACTGGCCAGGGGATATGTCTTAGTGATGGATCTGCAGCACACCCATCAAGTCTTATTAACCTGCACAGTGAACAGAGGGAAGTTTGTTCTGCAGACACCATCGGAACAAACAAAAGCTTTTTAGTGCAGGGTGGGAACAAAAAAAACAACAGTTCCTGTTCCTGTTCCTGTGAATATCTTCATTTTTCTTTTTATCTTGTACAAATTTAAATTCAGATGAATATATTTTTTCTTTTAATGTTTTTTCTAGGGGAATAAAACAATGCATGCAAATTGCTTCTTTATTTATTAATACAATTGTTTGATGAAGAATACATGTGTGCATTCTTAGGCCTTGCAAATCCCTGTGAAGTATTATTAAAGTAAGCCACTATTGTTTTACACACCTCATCTCATATGGAACCGCCATGTGTTTAATAATGAATGAATAAAACAACTTATAGAAAAATGAGGCAACAATTGCTGAAATAAATACAAAAAAATATTTCATCATCCTTATAGTGTTGAAACCGTAGACTGTATGGTTGAAACCTGCCTTTTGAGACCGTGACAAAATGGCCGAAAACGCTCTGTTTTAAATGATGTACATAACATCAAAAGGTTTAAGATGTGAAGTCAGTTGGGGGTCAGAATGGTGTGTGACTTTTGTAAAGTGCAGAAAATAAATAAAAGATAACAGGAGGGGAACTAATGTTGCCAAATAACCAGGGGGTGCCTGCAGAAAGAGAGAGGGAGTTATTAAAGCTATTGAGTTTTATAAGCTGGGAACAGTATGCTCAGAAGTTAAGAAGAGACACTGATGATGGACCTGTCAATCAAGCAGTGCAGTGACTTGTAGGAGCACTGCAGAACTGGAAACAGCGGAGGTCCCCAGTCGAGCTTTATTAAATTAACTTTTTATTTCAGCGTTAAAATACCCATATAAAAGTCTGTATTTAATACACAATGGCTCTTTTCTGGTGACATTTCTTTAATTGAATTTGTTTGCTATTCCAGAATGGCACTAAGAAGATGGTGGTGTTGTCACAGCCAATCACAATCTCCCTGGCTGCATCTCTTAACTTCAATCCTTGCGTCCCTCACTTGCGTCTTTTCCTTGCATCTTAGTCCCTCCCACCAGGGAAGCATGGAGAGACGCAAGGAAACCACGAGAAGGGAGAAGAAGCAGGGAAATTAGTTTTAAGAGCAATGGGACGTCCTTTCCTCGGAGCGTCAAGTGAAGCGACGTCCGTTTGTGATGACGCTGCACAGCTGATCGTCTGACAGCAGCTCTGTCCCCGTTTTTTTCACAAACACCCCCGCCTCTGTTAGTACACATTTACTGACATAAACATTTGTATCATCTGTTGTAGACCCAAATAAATAAAATAAAATAAGAACTCATTCTCAAAAAAGATAAACGCCATTCTTAAAATGTATAAACGAAAGTCGATAGTTACTTGGTATCAAACAAGTGTATATAAAACAAAGATATTGAGTGCAAAGGAGTTACCACTGTATCAATGGTCAGCCAAACACTGTTCACAATCTTCTGCAGCTCCAATAAACCATTCAGGCCAAATTATTTCCACATGCATGATCACATTTATGACAGTCCGAGCAGCCTTGGCAGTGCTGTTGCAGAGTTAAAGACTCTGAAATTACTTCAGATGTTTGTTTCTCCCCATTAATTTTACAACCAAAATATTGTTTTATCTGGAGGTGCAGCATGCCTAAGACATTATACTTAATGGACTTCAAAATAAGATGCATCACAAATCCCAGCCTCCAAAAGCTTTTGGTAGACGAATAAAAGACCGACAATGAAAATGCTACTTGGTTTGATATGGTGGATTATGTAGACCTTGAGATGTATAGAGCAAATATAACTACATTTTTGTTGTAGAAAAACAGTTCCACAGTAATCTTTAAGTAAAAGCATACAACACGAGTGTGACTGTATAATGAATTTTCTAAAAGCTATGAAGGAAAACCACTGAAATAAATAAAGATCCATTGCGTACAGATTGACAGAACTCCTTACGGATAAGCAGTACTTCCTTTTTACAAGTGTAGTCATTAAGTGATACAGTATAGTGCTTTGAGAGTGATCTGAATGACTGAGTAAACAATCTCCAAGGTTATAGCTACAGCTGATAAATGAGGGCACGTTAAAGATAATGCTGATACTATACTCCGTTATATTGATGGTGCACGTTTGCTGCGCACAGCTTGTTAACGGCACGGCACTTCAAGTTATAGGCAAGCTTTCAACCCATAAAGCAAAGACAAAACACCAAGTCTATATGGTCATTGCTGCAGTGTGCAGTATTTAAACCTTGTATTAAACCCATTCAAAGCTGCAGCAGAAAGGCCAACTGCCTGTTTTAGAGGAGGGTTAACATATTGTTACCTGGAGTCTACAGAGTGTCTCTCATGATTGTATTGGATCAGTGGAGTCGTGGCAATATGTGCAAGGTAACAAAGTTCACGTGATAAGAGTGTCTGTATCCTGTGTTAGAAAGGATCCTCCCAGATGACTGTAGAATCCTGTAGGAGGCAGTGAGTCATTTAAACACCAGACTGTGACATTTCTTTAACCCATTCTATCATCCCTATACTGTATGTTGGACAGCACTTTCCAGCAATGACAAATGACGGTTGCTATTGGCCAACCAATTATTGGCCTTTAAAAAAAAGAAATAGGAACAGCAAAACAAATCAAGTTTTCACATTTGTTGCATCATTGATATTGTTATATTGCCGATACAGTGAGAAGTGAAACAAGAAGACGTGGATGAGCTTTGACTTGCGTCAGCACAGACAACTGTTGTAAAGATAGATGCCAATTAAGTTGTTTTGCTTTGAGGTGAAAGTTGAACTAACTTGTCTACATAGTAAATTAATTATAGAATGGGTTCAACTGACAAAACAGATTAACATGAAGTGTTGTCTTTTACTACCTTCCGGTTTATTGTACTTTAAAAAGGTCGTATTAGTATCCTCTGTAAGCATTGAATGGGCCTTATTTCCAACAAAATAGTTTGTCCCCCACAAACAAACATATGCAACATTTCAATATTGGGATATTAGACTAGATATCATCCTAGATTTCTGATATTGTATTAAAAGTGTTTTTCCTGCTTTGAAAGCCTGCATTACAGTAAAGAGATATAGGTTTCAGAGCTTACCATACTGATCTAGATTTTTTGTTTATTAGGGTACATCTGAAATCTGCAGAGTCATTCTAAATATCTTGATATTATGCAAGAAAACAATATCAAGAAACACTGTGCCCCTGTCATAGTGAACTGACTCACATGAACATGGATGACAGTAAAATTGAGCAGTCAGTAATCATTTCCGACGTCTGTCAGTTTGGCGGTGGGCCTGCTCTTGTTCCATGTGGATGAAACAGACATCATGGTTGTCGGATGTGAGGCTTGAACTCATCACTCAGCGGACAGTGAACTCTTCACCTCTCGCCCACCTTGTGCCAAGTGATGCTCTATCTCCTGGTGTTTTTTATGTTTGTGTGATCTCATGTGGTACTGGACACAGCCACTCTATGCATGACAAATACATTTTTTTCACCGACTAGTAGTTTCATGACAACTAGATTTAGATGGAGCAGTGGTTTTGCTTGAAAGGTGTCTTTTCTACAAGTCAATCGACGCAGTAAGCATTAGTGTTCTGTGAATATTTAGTAATAATATTGAAACTATTCAGAAAAAAGCCAATGCTAATGAAGCAATCTAGCAGACAGGCTGCTTTAATGACACTGCAGCATAGCAACACAGTCAAGTGGCTATGTTATCAACACACAAGTGAAGTAGATGCCAGTGCTGATTACTCAAGGACTGAAAACTTTAGCAACAGCAACACTTGACTTTGAACACTTTGCCAGGCAGGCATCATGGGAACTTTACAAGTGGAAACCTTTTCCAGCCTGTAAAATGTGCTCATGATTCTGTACTATAATCTTCTCTAACTTCCTGGTGCACTGTTGTTATGCATGGTTGCTGGGTTAACAAGCTAAAAAAGGGAAGAAAGGAAAAAGAGACAATACGTATGACAGAGCTTCATCTTGATTTGGTTAGTCTGAAAGCAATTACAAAAAGTTGCCACACCCATTTACTGTAAATCCACCAAATGTTATGGGGAACTGGTGGGTTTTATCAGATTATAAAATGAGTCAATACAAGCACACTAAATATAGTCGCACAAAGTATCATCCTGGGAACATTCACCGTTACTAAGCTGTTGAATCTTTGACAAACATTAACTCTCCTTCCAGCCCTCTGGTTGAGAAAACATCTGCAGGACAGCTGCAACATTATGCCCACAAACAATAACAAAGCCAGAATGGAGAGCACACTCCCTGTTGCACCTCTGTTTCTGATTATACAGTCAATCTCCAGGCAGCTCCCGGCCCTATTCCCCTGAACAGATAAACTCCTGGAGGCAATCCCTGCAGAGCCGTCTCCTTTGATCAAAAACACTCTGCCTTACAGTTATCCTGTCTCAAAAGTAAAATGGAAATGTTGCAAGAAAACTGTACCTTTCACCTCTTCCTTTTTCAAAACATTGCTTCTTTTCTGCACATTTCCCCTTACGATCACACTCAACCGATGGTAGAACAATAACTTCTAAGTACTTACACATACAATAAAAAGGTACATGTAATTTACTATCCCACTCTATGCAATGTTAAAATTCTTACATCTCAGATGGAAATAATAATAACAATACTGCACTTCATTTATATGACAGCTTTAGTTACTTGACATATTAGCGTGTTCAATGAAAACCATGTATTTGAATATTTGTGATAAACTGGAAAATCAAGTTTTCCTTTACGTGTTGAAAATGTTTCCTACTTCCTAAGTTCAGGATCAGTTGCATCCACACAAAGCTGAAAAACAGGGCAGTTTTTCCAGTTTTTCACTTTACGGAGATATGCTTTTTCTCGCAGGACATTGATGCTACAGATTGTAGATAAACTACCCAAAAGCAAATAAAAGGAGTTCAAATTAGCACAACGGTAATTATCTACTAAAGTAAATTGTAGTATACACAATTACCCAGCAGTCTAATTGACCCAGAAAGATGAAATGTAAAAGTGTCAATGAACATTTTATTGTATACTGGAGTAATCCCAGTGTGGTGCTTTAAAAAGGATCTAAATATGTAACACCCCCCTGCACCAAACTGTCATAAAGCATGAGGAATGCCTGCTGTGGATTATTTTAACCTTGGTACCCATTCATGAAGGGAAATATCACCCCCATCAGTCACTTCATCACAGAAAGTTATTCATTCCTCTCCACCATCTATCAAACACTACTGTCCTGTAATCTGAAATAATCAGGGGACATCACTTTAACTTGTTCTCCATAACTCATGTGTATGACAAATACATTATAACACAGTTGGCAGTGATCCGTTGCCATGACCCCGTGGTGTGCAATCATGTACCGTGAAGGTCAGGAGCAGAAGGAGAAACATGCAGGTGCTGCATACACTCATGGGGGAAGTGGAGACAGAGAACCTTTGTGCTGTTTTCGACCTCTGGTTCAAACTCAACCAAATGCAAAACAACAACATCAATCCAACTTGACTCGCTTCCTGTGCACTTTTACATTCAGCTCAGACTACAGTGCTCCTCAGTAGTAGCCTCAGAGCATCACCTCTTACAGTCATAAACAATTATTCCTGTTCAAATCGGATGACGCCCAGCTCTGGTTGCATACCCTAAGGGCTGAACTTGACGGAACAAGTATTTTTACGAGGCAGCGATTTCAGTTTGGACTACTTCCGCTTACCAACTGTGATTATTGTGAATTTGCAACCCATGTTTGCGCTGTGAAAGTGTACATAAGAAGGCCAGATAAGAACAGGAGTATGTCTGCAGTTTAACTTTTTTAGTTCAACAGTTTTGGTTTTTGTAGAGCTAAAAAGCATGTTGATATGCATATAAAAAGGAAGCAAAAAGTACTTGATTGTAAATATACCAACCACAGTGTTTCACCATGTAGATGTGGGGATAGGCGTAGCTGATGAAAATGGGGGCAACATTATCTAACATATAACCAGTGCTGGATACCTGCCAAGTTCACTGAAACACTGTACTTATGTATTATGTTCAGGTACTTGTATTTTACTTAGACATTTCCATTTCCTGCTAAATATTTAAAAAATAAAAAAAATCTTTTTTTCATGTCCTGCTTCTTTTTGCTTTCCCCTCACTACAGTAAAGAGGGATGAGTTTAAACTTTTTACTTTCTTAACTTTTTTGAAAACTAGCTTCTTGAAAAAAATCAGGATCAGATCCATTATACAAGATATAACAATGAAACTAACTTATCATTAATTATTATGGGTTAAGAAAAACGTTAATTGAAAAAAGTATTCCTTTACCAGTTGCAACATAAACCTGATGAACACATTAATGCATCAAACTTTTAAATATAATATATTAATTTTGTGAAATGGGACATCTACTTGGGACTTATACTCATACTTTTGTACTTTAAATAAGTTCATTTTTTGAAAGCAGAACTTTTACATGTGAAAAAGTTATTCTAAACTGGTTTGACCACTTTTACTCAAGCGAAAGAACTGTGAACTTTTTCACCTCTGCAAGTTTGGAAGAGAGGATGATGAATACAAATAGGTGTTCATATCAAATTAAGGGTTGTTGCTTTGGAGTGCACACAGTATCCTTACCTGAACCATGGTCATGACATGGCAGGGGTTCAGCAGGTAGATCACAGTCTTGGTCGCGAATTTGAACCCAACCTCCACTCCAAAAGTCATGCAAAGGGCCACCAGCAACAAGTTCTTGACCAGACTGTCCTCCTTCGCGCAGTCTTTTCCCACCACTCGGTGCTCTTTGGACAGGTTTATTTTCTTTAGCGCCACGCACACCTCTATTAAAGAGATGAGGACGATGACCAGACTTTCACTGATGCGCTGCTGGGGCGCGAGGAAGGCGGCACAGTCCGGGCCCCCGTTGCCCTCAAACTTCGGGTCCACCCCGCCATAGAGCCAGTCCAACAGGCTGTATATGTTATATCTGGACATATTCCTCTTCTCGTAGTGAAAAAGATACGAACAAGATGGAATAAAAGACGTCACACTGACTTCTTGGCGAAACATGAACTGCAAAATGTCCCTTTCGTGTCTTGTCTCGTGGTTGAGGGGTAGACATGTATCCACCGCCTCGGTGTGTGTTAGAGCTAGCTCAAACACCCGACTACCTCATCCACACACAGATGAGGAACTTCGGCTAGCAGCAGGAGGAGGAGGCGGCTTTGGTAACACCCGTCCCTGCTGCTGGTACCGGGTAGTGGCAATTATTCCACGTCCCTCACACAATTGCTAGCTGACCCGGGCAAGTAATTTGACTTGGGCATGGTATGCAACAAGCTAGCATGCCGGCTACGTGCTGTTAGTCATATCAAGCTATACGGTAGTTTGCAGGAGGTTGAGTTAGCAACAGCACTGACACCGGATAGCTTAGCTTTAGCAACCAATCTTACCCTGCTGAAATGAAGCATGGGTTTTATGTATGCCCAGAGTTAAGCCTCTCAGGCTGCGGACCACACATCTCATTAGTTCACAGCCAAGGTACTGAATTCAGCAGTGCTCCTTTAGTGTGAAATGAATAGTAGCAGTAACCGGGGCAAATGTATAAGTAAATGAACTAGAGGTCAGTTTTGCGACCTAGCTGATTGGTGTTAATCATAATTGTAATATTACAATCATTTTGCACTCAATGCAATACAAATGCTGACTGTACAAGTAAGATATACATCGAAAACATCACTGCTGGTATTTACAAATGTTATCGAATGTTGAAGTGAAATTAAATTATGGTAGATTTATCTTTTTCTTACTTCACTATCCCAGCTAACACATAGTTTACTCTACCTGGAAGGCAAATCTGAGGGCTGCAACTCAAAGCTCTGTAACCAAGGAGGAAACCCAACACATGTGATGCTTTGTGATGGTGCGTTCATGAACAATCTGGAAACAACAATATTATTGTTGCATTTGAGAAATAAAGTCCAGGTAAATGCAGACAGAGTAATGTTTCTGTTTTAAACCTCTATTTCTCAGATAGCGGCTACTTTGCCAACGGAGTATTACTTATTTCACCACACGTTGGGGGTAATGACAATCTTTAAAGGAACAATTATTTATCAATGGGTTTCCTTCTCTACAGGGAAACATACAGTATTCCAATACCATGCTATGCATAAAACAGATTATCACATGGGTTTCTTGAGACTGATTATCAGCAAGAGAAATTATGTTGAAAGATTTTCATCCCGTATATTATGTAATTGAACAAACGTGAGGAAAGTTACACAAAGTGTATAGTAATACTACACAGCCACTCAAGGGTGTAACTTTGGTTTGAGAAGTGGGGGGGACATAAAACAGGGGGTCCTCCGCAATGAAATATTTTCTCAATTTAATTCCATTTCCTGCCTTTCTACAAATATATTAGGGACTATAGTGTTAACAAATCCAAGAAAAATGTGTAGTGTATATAATGAGTGTGCACACTTATCTAGTATCCTATCCATGTGAACCTGTTTTATTTGTGATTACCTGACATCCTCTAGGGGGGTCCGGGGGCATGCACCCCGGGAAGATTTGTTTCTTTAAATTGAAGTTGAATGCATCAATCTGGTGCACTTTGAGGGCAACATTAAGAGATTTATGGATACAGTTCTCAACACTGATATGAAACAGAACTGTATATATTTCAATAATCAAAAAGCCATTAGAATATGCTCACAACCAATAACAAATCATTGATAAACTCCTCTCTCCTATCTTTATCTTACCTAGTCTGCATTTTTTCTTTTTATTTATACATATTTGACTAATCACTCCCCTTGCAAACTGTGTTTTTTATTTTTGTACTGACCTATAGTACACATTGGAAGGATTTCTTAACTTATTTTATATACAACTATATATTACATAGATGGAAATATTTGTTTACATAGATGACCAAACCGTTTGAGACCCACTGAGATAACTAAAGTTTACAACCTAATCACTCAGAGAGTCCTTTACCTCCCTGAGCTGACGTTATCTCTCTCAGTCCGACAGGAGAGGACTCTCCCTCTCCTTATTGTTGAAACAGCTTCTAATCTCCGTTAGCTCCGAGCTAGCACCAGATGCTAACAACAACCCACGTGACTCTCTCTCTCTCTCTCTCTCTCTCTCTCTCTCTCTCTCTCTCTCTCTCTCTCTCTCTCTCTCTCTCTCTCTCTCTCTCTCTCTCTCTCTCTCTCTCTCTCTCTCTCTCTCTCTCTCTCAGTCTCTCAAAGTCCGACAGGAAAGAGCTCTCCCTCTCCTTATTGTTGAAACAGCTACTAATCTCCATTAGCTCCGAGCTAGCACCAAATGCTAACAACAACCCCCGTAACTCTCTATGTCTCTCTCTCTCTGTCTCTCTCTCTTTCTATCTCTCTCTCACAAGATGCGCTCGTGCCACACACACACACAGACGCTCCTCCGTGACGATGACCGCTTGCGTAAAAAAATTAAAAATTAAAATTAAAAAAAATTAAAAAGTGGGGGGGACACAAATGGGATTTTGAAAAGTGGGGGGGACATGTCCCCCCTGTCCCCAGTGGAAATTACGCCCATGCAGCCACTACACACGGCGGTACAATTAAATATTCATATTTATTCAATTCCTGCATTTTAAACACCGATCTTAGTTTTTCATCAATAATATGATTTTAGACTATTAAAAACATATTCTTTACTTTACTCTATATCTCCATAAATCTTTTTATTTATAAATATTGAAGCATAATGCCTACATGTTTCTGGTTCTGGATGAATGTCAAGATTATAAGTGGCAACTGTATTTTTAAGTTGTGAATGATACACTGTAATCTTTACCGTTAATGATTAGCCCAGACTTAACAATCCATACCCACTGCAACATAATGACAAGGTGTCACTTCAAACAAGGAGGGCTCTTTAAAGAGCAGCAGGTAATTATAACTAATAATTCTGGAACACGTCCATTACTGTTAGAGGAAAACAGCAGGGCTCTTTTGACCAATGCTATGTTGTTTAATCTTTTCAACTGTCCTCACAAATGTACCACACCAAAAAAATACCTGAAAGTTATGACATCACATGTATACTCCTAATAACTTCAGGTCATTAATCTGCTTAAAAAGCTGAGGGTTAGACTAGGTTTCTTTTTCAGAAACAAGTCCTGTTTCTCTTTTGAAGCCAGGAAAAGGCTAGTCACTGTGACCTTTTTACCTGTGGTGATTTAATATATATGAATGCACCTGCCCATTGCCTGGAAAGGTTAGATGCCGCCTATCACAGTGCTCTGAGATTTGTTACTAACTGTAAAGCACTTACTCATCACTGTACCCTGTATGCCAGGGCAGGTCTGCCTTCACTTACTGTACGGAGGCTCAGTCATTGGTACATATTCATCTATAAAGCTATGTTGGGTAAACTCCCAATTTATATATGCTCTTTGATCTCACAGAGAGTGGCAAGTAGCTATTGCCTGAGATCCCAGGATGTGTTTTTATTACATGTGCCAAGTGCTAGGACTGTTTTAGGTACTAAAGCTTTTATGTGCGCTGCTCCTCTAGCTTAGAACACTATGCAATTTTTTTTTAAACTGAGCATTTTGATTCCCTTGCATCATTTTAAAGCGCGGCTGGATGAATTGTTATTAGATACCTGTCATTGTGAATAGGTTGCTAATTTATACCCCTGTAATTATGTTGTGATGTCCTTTTTGTTTTCTGTTGTTTTTATGTGTAACCAATGTACTGCAGGTCTCCCTTGAAAAAGAGATCGTTGATCTCAATGGGATTTTTAACCTGGTTAAATAAAGGCTACAAACAAACAAACAAACAATAAGGACAAAAACGATCCACCCTAATAGGAAGGTCGCATGACTTGGATTATGATGGGACCTACATGTTTGTCTTTGAAATCACTTCATTAAGTTTGAGGAACAGCAACGTATGATTGAATTGAACTACAGAATACAGAACTTGCCAATTTAAGAGTCCACAGAGAACTAATTTGTAAGCCAGTTTCCTTCATGCTCATTTGGCATTGTGTTGCCATCATAGCAGGAGGCAGTGACGTATTCTCCACACTAATTGGTTTGGGATATTCTTCAATGTGGCAAATACTTTTTTCCAACAAGCCAGGGGAAATGGAGTGGAATGGATGTGGTTGCAGGGAATGAACTGACATGGAGAGAAGAGGAGAATAGGAAAAAGCTTTGGGATGCATCTAATGTCTCCCACGGTGCTCGCTTTGGTTGGCCGACGCTCGTTTTTTTCAACAACCACACGCTGACATAATTCCATTAGTGCACGGATGTGTGTGGCACTCGGAGTGTTTGAAAGCAGGTCCAGCAAATGACTCTGTGTTGAGGTGTTGTAATTGTGGTTAAAACTGCTTTACTATGCAGAGATATGGGAATACATGGCATCCTGGTTTGGTGGGAAAGAGATTGAAACAGAGACTGAGTGTGTAATGCAATTCTAGTCTTACATATAATTGCATGAATAAGATGAGTTTTATACCAAAATATTATTTCTTAATGACTGATGAATGCACAAAAAGGATTCACTAGGAGGGAAAGTGGTGAGTTAAAAATTCATATATAAGATGAATAAATAAAATGCAGGAGAAGAAATTAAACTATCTAGTAGTAGACACTAATAGAAAAACAGTTCCTGTGTGGAAAAATAACCAAATCATTATTGGAATATTACCCTTTTTGAGGTTTATGCAGCTTATATTAACAGTGGTTTCTATTTCAGACAGTGTTTTACCATAGATCTATTATCCATGACTTGATCTGACCAATCATTTGACCATTCCAGTCATTTCTGAGTTTCATATTTGCAGAAAAGCGATTTTAAAGATATTAAATGAAGACAATTAACCACTGAATAGGGTGATGCAGGCCTCCATTCAGGAGCTAAAGGGCCCTGATATCATTCCATAAGGAAACTGTCTCATCAGCAAACTCTTTCATGACTTTCTGCCAAGAAAAATAAAATGGACCCCATTTCAACATTGTTAAAAGGGTAATATGGTCTGTTCTCTCAGTCCCATAAGGGAAAAGACTGACTCGGTTTATAATCCAATGAGGGCTATAAAGTCCTGGCTTCAGGCTGTGGAGAGTAGCAGAAAGGAAGGCTAAAGATCAACCGGCTTCCAAGCACTTGATCCTGAGGGATAAAGAGAGAGACGGGCTCTCCTGGCTCAAGATACTGAACTCAGGAAAAACCGCCAGACAGAGGAAACTCGGGGAATTCAAGACCCTTTAGGTCTGGTAAAACGTCTAATTAGTTGAAAGATTTAGAAAGAACAGCTGGGCCGGGAGGAAAAACTCTGTTACACAAGATACCTGTGTGTTTGGTTCAAGGCTATCGTATTTCAACCTTTATGTGTCATTTTCCAACATTTTTTTCCAACTAGGCCTATCTATAATAAAGACGGATTGTCCTTAAA